TACCATTCTATGTATTATACATGTATACATACAATATTATTCCGAATATATTCACGTAGACTATTATGAGTAAATAGTAAATAGTAATAGACGTAACTGTAAGTGTATTCAAAGAAATGTAGTCGGGCACGATGTAACATATTATACGATTTTAAACCTGGTTGAACGTATTCGGGAATGTCATTTATACAATTATAACTAAATATTTCTTATTCCAAAAAAAAAAGTCGACTAGGTGGCCAACCCACCATAATGTAATATAATATTATACAATATATTATTATATGCCACATAGAAAAGTGATTAAATTTTTAAAAATGACTTACGTGTACACTTCTTCTTCGTCAGACATGGTTAAGCGCGGTGTGTCTAGGGCCTAGTCTCTGTAAACAAAAATAATCTAAATTGAACACCGACAGAATCGCGTAAATTCGCGGGTACACGAAATGGGTAGTTATCTCGTCCACCCTATGCCAAGCGATTTTATTTGAAAATGGATTTCTGGTGTAGAATCGACCGGTAGACGTTAATTCTGAAAAAATGTGGGAGGGATCGGCGGCTGTGGATCCCGTTGATATTAATAGCCGCTGTCGGTTCGGGCTGCCAACATTGCCTTTTTACGACCCACAAAATCCTATCGCCGCGTCTATTTATATAAAACGCACATAGTACACCGGTACGTATATAGTATTAAGCGGAGAGACGAATCGTCCGGGATTTCGATGGTAATAATATTATATGGTAAAACATTTACAATATTATGGTCCATTATTGTTGTGTGGTCAAATGCACGAATACTTCGAATCGCGGATCGGTAATCTAAATCGTCGCCGGGAAATCTATTAGATTCCATAAACAAAAACAAAAAATAAATAAATACCCATCATGTAACAGATAACCCAAAGGCCAAAATCCACGAGGGGTATCAGCATTAACGATTTATTTWTTTTTTTTGTAACAAAAAGCTATGAATAATATTCCATATTACGTAAATTAACTAGAGAAGACGTGCGCTCGTTGGTATAATTCAAGACGTCTAACAAATAGGTGCGTTGAAATGTAACCATTTTTTGAATGTGCTGAGCACCAATACTATACAATAGTAGCCAGCTGGTTATAGTGCACGTTTTCCGATAAGTAATAATTTAAAGTCAAAATATAAAACGATATTAGGTATTGCAAGTTCATAATTCACGGAAAAAAAGCTCTCAAATACATACTATGTCCAACGGTCTCGACGTCCAAAAGTTTTCTGTCTTTTTTTTTGTTTTTGCGATTATACGCCGGTCTGTACCTACTCTGTTTAGGGTACAGGAGAAAAATTAAAGACCAGCTAATATAAAAAGGGCATAATATRTTAATTTGGTAGGTACCCAATGTTATGATTGAAAGACGTCGTCTTAGACAAAACAGAAAAAACTCCACTACGGTTCCACTYGCTCTTGCACTTAATACGAAACGCGCATATTATTATTCCAAATAATCCGGCGTGACCGGAACCAGGATAAACGCACGATAGTTTATCGATTTTGTCGGAATTCGGAAAATCTTATATGTTAATTTCCGGCTGTCATCCAGAAGTTTTTCACCGCCTACACACGATCGAATCCCGGATACGTCGGCGTGATTTAGACAGGCACCCATCATCATCATACAGTCACAAAATCTCGAGTTGTTCGTAACGATACATGTTATACAACGAAATAGCAGGTAGGTAGATTTTCATTTTCATAGGGATGTGGCGGACGCGATTTTTACGACGATACAGTAACGAAATGTAGAGTACAATGCAATTGTGTTATGATTAATATAATATTATATGGTTGGTGTACTTACAATAATAAAGATAATATATGAATACCGCGACGGAAGTCCCACTAACGTCTGCGGACGACTGATCGCCGTTGGAGTACGAGATCGGCGGTTAAGCTCGTCCCCACCAAACCGGGGCTCGCGGACAGGAAATCTATCCGGGATATTTTTGGCATTTTCCAGTTGTATCGTACAAACACATATCATCATGTTTTGCGTATGGAAAATGTGGTGGAAAAAAACGATAATAATAACAGTATAATAACGAGAAGACGACGAAAAAGACCATTTGATCCTAACTGACGGGTCGGTGGTGGGGGAGGGGGGAGAGAATCTCAAAAGTGTGTCAAAAATATTAACGCACTAGCCGCTGCCCGCCATAGGAATTTATTATTACGTTGGGAGTATATCTGTGGTTTTTTTTTAGAACTCCCAGCGTACATGACCGTATTATTATCCGTCTTTTCGAGTGCCACGAGTCTTAAAATTCTTCAGTGTTAGATGATTAATAATTAACACCTTAAATTACATTTTAATATTTGATATCATTCATCTTTTAGACGGATACATTATATATGTATGGCGACCTTTGGGCTCTTGATAAGAACCTAACATTATGAGATCACAMATTTTTATGTATATATATAATAATATATTATATATTATAGTGCACATCTACTATATAGAATAATCATAAATAAAAATCTAGACAATCTAGTTATATTCAGAGTTTACAAATGCCATACATTTATACAATAATTATACAATATACAAAGCTTGGTACATACATTTAATATTTAAAAAATTAGTATTCTTTTACTAACACAATTAAATACAAAAATAAACCTGAATAACAAGTAGGTATTATTTTATTTTTTTATTTTTAAATGCCTGCATAATTTGATAAAACAAAGAAATATTTGAACACAGATTTAGATAATTTTCTACTGTGCAATAGTTCAACAACAAGTATGTATAAATATATTTTGCACTAGGCAGATAACCACAAGGTATAATAATCATAAATACAATAGATTTGTACATAAATAAAAAAATTTAAGCAAGTATTAATAAATCCTGAACTTTAAAATGCCCTCCTTCTTCGCAGTTGTATAATAAGTAAATTCATAAAATTATATAATTTATTGGCTAATGTAATATATGTAGTATTTTATCCAACAATAAAAAACACCTATACTRTTATGGAATGAAGTGAGCATTAATGGTAGAAATGGATATCTTTGATCAAACCTTAAAACCATCCATCCGACCTCAGTCAACAACAACAAAGGCCCTAGACTTATTAAATACAATTTTTCTATAACATTCAACRATTTAAATTTACCAGTATTATATAAAAACGAAACATTAACTAAAAGTAATAGTGATTTAGTAATAAATTCAAATGGCTTAAACAACAATGGAAAAACAGAAAATGTAGAGATAGTTGATAACATTGTAAACACGGAACAGTCTTTTGTAGAGGTAAATACTAATAATCTGTAAAAAAAAAATAAATATATGCATAATTAAGCATTAGATGAAAAGAAAGATTTAATTGCTTACGTTAATGGTATAACTGCTAACAACAATGCTTTCTCATGAACATGCCAACCAAACATAAATGAAGTCAAACCACATAATACAAGGCATCGAACAAAATCAATAGGATTTCTATCCGATTTCCAAAGTTTATATAAACATGGCTGAAAATAACAAAAAAATATTTTAATTAAGAAAACAGTCATAGTAATAATTAAATGTAATGATTTTTAGTATTATATAATATAAATATTATGTTCTATAAATATGTATCTCTGAACAGTTTTAGGGCTATTAATACATTTTACATGAAACAAAATTAATGATGTATTTATATACACATTTTCTGCTATGCAGTCACGTGAGTTAAAAATATATAAATGTAATAAACTAATAAGTGTAAAAGACACRAGTATAATAAAACAAATAGTAGGCATATTGTCTAATAGAAATGTCAATAACTCCAAATGTGATCTAGGTTAAAATAATAAATCTGAAAAGGCCACAAAAAAAAACACTCTGTAACTTATTACTTATTTATTAGGTATTATTTAAAGACTATATTTAAGATATTAGAATCTAAATCATCCTTTTATTGTAAACAACATACTATTATAGCATTTAATCATTGTCTATAATAATTTGATATTAAAATATTAGAAATCTAATTTAAATCTAAGTATTCCAACTATATTATCATTAGAAAAATTCTTAATATCTTAATTACCTATAAAACAAACAATTAGATAATGCAAAACTTACCAACATAAAGATTATTGTTAAAATAAAAGTAATCTGAGGAGTAATTGATGGCAGAACAGTGTGTTCAAATTCTTGAACTAAGCCTCTCGTCATTGATGCTGAATTATTATTTTTTATTAAATCATTGTCTCTATCTGAAAAAATTTTATCAGAACATAAATAAAAGAATTCAAATAAATAAAAAGATTATAGAAATCTATAAATACATGACATTTTAGCACCAATATCAGCTGAATTATACAAGGCCCAAAAGTTTGGTGCCCAATAGGCATGAGATAARCCTCGTTTGAATGGAAAAAGCTGTTTAAAAACCTGAGAAAAAAAATTAAATTAGTATACTCTATTCACAAAAAGAAATGTACTGGGCAGCGACCAGTTTTTGTCAGCGGCAATCAGATGATTCTCCACCAACACTAGAGCACAAGATAAATCTTCAGAATGAAGCCATGTGTACAAGAACAATTTGGCTGCCCAGTACCTTTTGTATTCTGAATAGATTATAGAACTAAGATTTATATTCTAATAAGTAGTACCTGTACAATTTGACCATTAAACACAAAAGGTCCAAATGACAAACTAAATATACTGATAACAATCAAACCTAATTTTAAGAGTCTTTTCATTGCAAATTGTAAATTTTTTCTGAAACAAAAATGTTTTAAGAAATATACAAAATATGCTGGAGCCAAATATAAATAAATATGCTTGAAATTCAACARGATCGTAAACCAAAATGCACCTCGATAATTTTCACCCTGGAAAAATMAACTAAATTAGCAAAAATAACATGGTTTATAAAAAATATATTGAAACTATATTTTAACTATATATTTAAAAGCAATATTGTTTACCTTTAAAATGTGTGATATTGATACAAGTAGGATACCGAAAAGAAAGCCATTGTACTGAAAGTGTATTTGGTCAATAAGCAATAATGTCACATTCGCTATTAACAAAAGTTCAATGACAAAAACAGAAATTTTACTTTCATCCATATGTTTTTTCTTTTTAGCTTTTGRTGGTTTTATAAGTAATGCAATTGACTGAGCACATCTAAAAATAATGTAATGTCATACTGATCAAATAATAATATAATAAAATATATTAGAAAGATTCAAAAATGTATCTATTACATTACAACTGTTTATTATTACTATCACTTAATTTATCATTATCTTATTTATTATTACCCTATTCTTTCTCTTACTATTAWATACTTATTTTTATTTTTATTTTTTCWCTCTTTCTATTTTTATTAGAGACTCGTGTCTATCAAAACAAAGATATCTACCTAAGTAATGAACGTTGCAGTTTAATCACAAAATATGTAATCAACTTACTTAGTAAATATAAATACTGCTAAATAAATTATATACTATATACTATTATAATACCGCTAGTTAAAAACTATTAAGAGGATATATCAGCACAATATTTGTCTCTTTTAGACCCATGTGCAAAGTATATAAAACAATTTCATCTAAAATTGTTTCTTATGATCTTTAAGAAAAATTACCTATGGAGAAAAAATTAAATATAGAGGCTAAWATTTTTGAGAGTATGACATATCGGTTTCAAATTTTTATTGTTAATTGACCATCAAAATAAAATTGTAAATGTAAATGATGTTTAAATTGTTTTGAGACAATATTTAGACGAATTGAAAGTTATTCCTCGAAAATATTGTTCTATATTGGTTTAATAATGAGTAATTTTACCTTAAGATTTCTCAAAAATATAAAAAACAAATAATTTGTTGTGAATGCATTTAGYTTATATTGAGCATGAGTCAGAGAAATAAAACAAACAGTGCACTGACATTCTCCTAAATAATTTTATAAGTAATGTTATTATTTACATTTCTAAAGTTGATAGCTTTTACTCTTAATGCCAGTRTACCTAACTGCATTATATGGGAAATTGTTCCATTTAATGAAGTTACAGGTGATGTAAGAATTTAAGTTTTTAAAATAGAAAAGTAAATAGTAAAAATACAAATCAATATTCATAAATTAATTAACGAAAGAATTATTATTAAAGACAACAATAAAATATATAATCATTTTAAAAGTAAACATAATCTTCCATAGTTTATAGGTATGTAACTATTAGCAATATCTTATAATTATTGAATAATAATTTAACATTCAGAATTATATTTGTTCTGTGTAAGTACAATATAATATTTTATAACTTAATTTTAAACATTAAAAAAATTAGACTTGGCAAAACTGATATAAGATAGGCAAAGAAGGGGAAATATGTTGGCAAAATATTCAAATAACATTGCTCATTTTAGAATAGTTATTAACGGTTTTGAAGTTAMTTTGGCAGTCCTCCGTTTAATTTATTACTAAATATTAATTAACCCTGTGTTTTCATTTCAGTGGCATACAATTAAATAATRTCTAAACATACAATAGATGTATAACAACATAGAACAATGTTATTCAGCATAAATTATATTTACTTTCGAGATCCATAATAAAACACAAAATCAGTAATGATGACACTAAGTCGCTGAAAGAATACGGTAGCATTTGACGAGTAATTATGATTGTGTATTGACAACATGTCAATATCGACAAAGGCAGCAATTTGAGCCAAGAAGTATTCAAACCACGCAAAAAGTGGCGGATAGTCGATGGTCCATTCCGAATGATTAGCCGAATACCACTGGGATACAGGTAGACTGTACGTCGTGGCAAGCCAGTTGCGATGCACCTCGAAATCGGTCGAAAAACTGTCGAAACAGAATGAGACAACAATTTAGTGAGCACGATTGTGGATATTGCGGAGAAAAAGATTAAATAACTGTTGAGATCTAAGACGGCGAATAACAATTATAACGACGATCCTACTTTGGACCTTCACTCACTAGGACGGCAACAGGAGCAACTTCACGCACGTTATGACAACGTGTAGGGAACTCGTCATTTTCAATTCAACAAGTTTTGGTCAAAGCATTGTTGAAAAATCCMTGGCCGGCGTGAAATTCAAATCGTTTCGTCGGACTTGTTGTATTCAATTTCAACAATAATAATAAGTGTAACGTGCCCAAACGTGGTTAGAAAACGTCTTCAAAAGCGACGGCGTGTAACCATTTCAGAATTTCAGATCCACGACGATGGTATTATTACGATCTCCCATAATAACGTCTTATTGTGAATTATTATGATTTGATGTATATAGGTAATGTATTTATRTATTGAGTACTTGGCCACGAAACGTCATTATTTAGACGTAGTCGGCAAGTCCATACATTACCGGTATAACGATGTGTATGAAAAAAAAGTTAACTGTTATCAGTGTTATCACTCATCCGATTATCAACTCTGTTCACGGTTTGTTAGAACAATATTTTTTTTAGAATCCAACATCGGCAACATCCAACGATTCCAACGTCGAACATCATTTGGCTATGGTGAATGGTGATTTGGATTGAAGTTATTATGCTGTACGTTATTCTAGTTCTAGACTATAGTTTTTTTTAAAATTGAAATATCGTAAAAAAGCCTWTAATACAAACACAGATAATGTTCCCAACTTTAAATTTCAACATAGGCAGAAATGGGGGGGGGCTTAGCCCCCTTGAAATTTTTTATGGATTTCCGCCTATGAATTTCAAAATGGTGGATTAAGAATTAAGTCATTATGTATGTATTAACGTAAAGCCATTTATAAAGGCGGGTTGAACTTAAATTTACCCTGACACATGGTTGATGGGTCAATGAAATAAAACTAAAGAAAWCAAATAGTATGTCACATCATCTGTAGTAATAAGTATTTATTTCATTTTGTTTATTTTTATTTTTAGATCATAAAACAATCAAACTAATTTACAATTAAATTGTGATCAATGATCAAAATTTTGTAATTGTACTGTAACTTTATATTTTTATTCAGTTTAAAGTTAATACTACTTTGCATGGTCGTGGTAATAAGCTGTTTTTAAATCACTGAAGAGAAAATAAAGAACAAGTAGAATATCATAAAACATTTAATGAACTTACGTCTACTCGAAGCATACAAATAATATATACTATATAGTAAATGATAATAAATTATGCACATCATCATTAAGTGTGTACCTAGAAATTGATTGATGATGTATGAACACCAGCTATAGCCATCAATCAAATTTTGAGTTTGAAATGAAAAAACAATGTTAATGGTGTAATTTTTAGGATTATACTCACGGTTTTGGTGTTTTTAAATAAAATTCTTAAATTAATAATGATTCATATATTTAGTATGAATAACAATACTTAAAAATTCTTTGATTAATACCAAATAATAATAATTAGTAACCATAAAATAAATCATCTTTAAAATATTTCAAAATTCAGTACACGTTAATTTCTGTATAATATAAAATGTGTATTATACCTATCTATTTATTAAAATAAACTTAGTTTAACAATACTTRAGCTTTTAAGCTTTAGAACTATATTGAACATTTCAGTCAGGATTAATATTCTAAAATAATAAATATTACATATTTATATATCATTACAACAATAGTAAAATGTGCAATAATAAATAACAATTGTTAATGCTTAWTACCTATATTGTTCATATGAATTTACTAAAGATTCAAGTGTTAAAACAATGATCATACATTTAAAAAATACAAAATAAAAAGTCAAAAGAATTACAATTTAATAATTAATAAGCTAACATGTTTATGAATGTATTTTATATGCATACATAATATACAGAGTATTTTAATTTTAAAATGTTTGGCCCATCAAAAATGACTGCTATATAAAATATGATATTATATTTTATAATTATCATGACTGTAAGTTATATGTTATACCTATTAGACATAGTCATATAACACTAGCTGCTAAATAACAATGATTTTTAATCACATTGAAGTATTAAACTGTAGACTAATGTAACGAATATAATCGTTATCAATATATATTATAATAAATTATAATATTATATTGAACCTACAGAAATAAAATGTGATTCTACAATGTTCTAGATTCTAATTTGGTCACAGTTTATGTTCCATAAAACAAACATAAAATAAATCAATGATTAAAAAAATTTTTTTTGTTAAAAAGTTAGTATAGGATGAGTWAATAAAAGATAATATTGATTTTTAGTAAACAAGATTTGAGAGATTATCAATTACTTTGATTCAGAATATTTTTCAATATTTCATCATAAAACACGGTGAAAACTTTTCTGTTATATGTTATAAGATGCAAAAAACTGCCAGTGACAGCTGCTAATTCATCTTTGAATGCAGACAAACCAAGTGGGCATTGCTGGGGAACTGCATTGTCAGAACTGATGACAGCAGTAATAAACTCCTTGAAACGCTTCTCTGAAATAAGAACCAGATGAAATTAAAATTAAAAAATTAAAAAACTATAATTTATATTTTATCAAAATAATGATATTACCAACTAGAGTTCTTATTTTGTTTTCAGGATTTTGGATTGATAAAACTTGAGTTTCAAGTGCATTGACAATTTCTGGGGAAATAGTTGGTCCTTCTRGATTAATTCTACTCAAACACTTATTACAGTAATGAACTATCTGTTCTACAATATTTGGTAAGACATTTCTACAAATAAAAAAATTTTAAGCATAATACACTACTGTTTAAAAATTATCACAGTAAATATTATAATAAATACTTGTTGGAATCATTATCTTTAAGTATGGATAAAATAAAAATCTTTAAATCGTTTTTAAATTTCATGTCATTTGGAATAATGGAATTAGTTGTTGATATTGTCACAATAAATGTAGATGCTGCGAGTATCAAAAGATTTAGCATTTTATTTGTAGCCAAAAATCGATCTTTATCCAATGATAATGACTGGAAATAATAATCAGTTATTTTAAAACATTGCTTTGACAATATTATTTTAACCTTAATACCTCTGGGAATGTAACAGTTTCGTTCCAATCAAATATTTCCATATAAGCTCTTGCAACWATATCGTGATAAGATTCTGTGGTATTTTCAAAATTAATGTGGCGTTTTAACCATTCGGCAGTCAAGTTTAATGCATCTGTTAATAATTTTTGATTAGTGAATACTAAATAAACATTATTTAATTGCATATTGCATAAAAAATTGGGATTTACCTGGTTTAACTTTTAAATACTCTGCAAATTTTTCTCTTTCATAATCTGCACTACAAGCGTTTAATGCTCGTCGTTGTGCAGTTATTGTGAAATTTGCCATGTCAAGTTTCATTAAGCTTAAAGTCTAAAAATAAATACCATTGATATCCAAGATATATTTTTTAATTTTTCAAATATCAATACTTAAATTAATTAATAAATTCTTTAAAATGAATAACTAATAACTATTATTGTAAATAACAGCCAACTAAAGCACTAAAACATATTTAATTTTTAAGACAGATATCTAAAAATCAGCGTAATGTTTTATAATAACATAATCTGTGTGGACAAATAGTACATGCTTATTTCAAAATAGAAAAATACATAAAATATTCATTTTACACTAAGTACTCATTAAACTGTTTAATAATAACTTATAAATTTTTATTTATCATAAATAAATAAATTGCTTAATAATTTTAAGTTTTGAGTAAATACTAAATTGTGCTTAAACATCTAAATGATTTTAATGTATAAATAGGTACTTTGCAAGTATACTTATTCTATTATTTGTTTTTAATATTATTGGTCATTTTATCGAAAGTTCTGTGGTGAATTATCCTACTGCCTTCATCCTTATGCCATAACATTTTTTTTTCAGTTTTTATTACCCTTTGATAAATTAATTATTTTTCCTATAGTTCATTCGCAGACATTTTGGAAATTTTAATTACAATCAATATTGAAAAAACAAAATTACAACAAGTGTTTTCACCACATTACTATTTGACCAGAGAATCCTCCTATAAAATTAAAATAAATCTCACAGCATTAAAGTGCTACAAGGCTAAACTGACATTTAAAACCCAAATTAACAAAAATTAATAAAATAAGCCACAATGCATTAAACAAACTTTTTAAAAAGTGATATTTGACATACAAGACTAATTTTATATTTAAATTTTAAAACAATTGTTAATTTGCTATAATTTCAAAATAATAAAGAAAAATTTACCTTCTATATTTATATGTTATATAATATCTTCTATCTTCATATACAATATAACAATTTTCACCTAATTTATTTTTAGATTATAGCATTGAACAATCTATATTATAGAAAATTTGTCAATGACAATTTTTTATAGGTTAAATAATATTATATTYAAAAAAATATTTTCAACAGTAGAACTAATGCTGATCAAAATTATTTTTCAATTTATTTAATATTATAATTTTCAGTTTTACAAAACTATGTTACTAATATTAATATCATCATTATTCTGTGGTTGGTGCAAAAGAACATTTAAATAAGTTATTCAAAATATCATATAGGCACTTTAAACACTTTACTTAATAGATTAATTATTATTATGATATTAAAATGATTGACATTTAAATAAAAATATATTATATTAACAAGTCAATATTACTTTATTAGTCGCAAATTTCCGAGTAATTATTTGAATCATAATTAAGTGATTTACCTCTATTATTCCTTTAAATATATCAACAGGATCCTTTAATAGTGTAAGTGCACGAATCGAATCATCTCTTACTGGAGCACATATTTTTGACATCAAATTCAGTATAAAATTGGTATAATACTATTGAAAAAAATAAATWAATWAATTAAGACAAGCAATATTTACAATTTCATTGGTTATGTTATTTTATAGTTACTTCAAAATCCAAAGAGTCATTGGCTATCTGATTTTTTATAGACTCTACATCTAAAACTTGAGCAATATCTTCTTTTAATTTAGTATGTTGGTCTAACAGCAAACTTGATAAGCTCTATAACAATTTTATTTTTCTTAAAATTAATGGTGTTATTATAGTAAAATAACAACAGTGTTACATACTAAAATGTTTACATACTATTTGAATTTCTGATAAAAGTATCATTGCTTGAGAGTACTCAGGAGGATCACTGTTTAATTGTTCACGTAACAACTCCCAAAATGCTTTATGCATAGTGTCTTTGACTTGTTTCATTAAGCTGACAGAATAAAACATATCCACAAAATAAACTTGTATTAAATAAATATTCAAGATACACAGATTTTATATTTATAATACTATATTAAATTAATTAATAGTTTTACCTGTTATTTGGATGTTCTTGAGGCTCCAACTTGAAATTTTCATTGACTGCTATTTCATGAACAAGAGCAATATCTTCCAATTTTTTAGCAGCTACCATAATTTCAGGTAATGACAAGAACCTCGGAGGTGACGCAGCAGTTATATTTAACCTAAAGATTGTAATAGAATAGATACAATATAATCAACAGCAAAAATAGAATTATGTTGAACTATCACATTTCTTGACGAGCTCCAGGAATTGGTTTATTTGGAGTTGATTTATTCTCTTGTTCATCATTATTGAATTTATCTTCTGAACTCATTTTAAAGAATTTTGTTATAATATCTAATAACTGCAAAATAAAAATAAAATAAATGAATATATTACAAAAATGTTTCAGTAAACACTATATTATATTATTGAAAATAAGTAGACTTAGAACTTTTCAAAGTAAAACTTATAACTTAATCGGCTGAATCTATTAGAAATCACCCATATCTATGCATATGGTTTGGACAATGGCTTTTTTCTGATTATTAGAGATATTATTGTTCTACTGTTCTACACTATAAGATCCAATATGTGATGATGAATACTGGACTATACATATTTTTGTAGATTCTATACTTGAACTATAATTGTTGTAGACAATTTTGAATTTAATTACAGACATTTTATACTCTGAAAATTTTAAATGAGACTTTATCTTTGGGAAGAATTTTTTTATGTTAACTAGGTTAGGTATATTCATTCAATAACAAATAGTAATGTCTATTATGGTACAATAAGTGTCATAACAAAGGTTAACCAATCAAATACTATAAATAATAATATAATAGACATGATATAATATTTAGAAATCATTAATCATAATACACCATTGTCCAAACAATATTGATGTATGAAATATAAAATATGTAAAAYCAAAACATTATTTTATAATTTCCAAGCTGTTAAATAAAAATTATTAACAAATCGCAATCAGATCCAATACCAAACATGAGAAAAATAAACATATACTTTTTATTTCAAAAATTAATAAAATAGTAAAATTACTTTTGATTTATTACTATCTAGGAATTATTTATTGATTCAAGTAAATTTAAAGTGATGAGTAGTATTGTTCACACAGAGTATTCTCTGCTTTAGGTTAAATAGGATAAAAAGTATAGTTATTACAATTCAGAAAATTAATACACTAAATACTTACATAGTRAGTAAATTAAATTCAGAAAAATAATAACGGCAAAAAATGTTGACAAGTTATATTAAAAAAATAGATATTACATAGATCGCAGATTTCGTAAAAACCCGAAGAGAAAATTAATAAAATTAAACTCAAGTGTCACACGACTGAATGGAAATATGTACAAAGTACAAGGTATGACGACTATGACGATAACCAAATGCGATCGTAATAACAGGGAATTGACCAAGGACTGGAATTTAATGAATCAGGACTCTCGAGTTTCGATAAGACGATGATATTATTATAAGTAAATATACCTTTTACGGTCATCGGCCTTGCGACGAACATCTTAACAAYGCTCATACGCGGAAATCATCAAATACATCGGCTACTAGCCCGCGTATTTTTACAGAAAAAACAAAGCCATCAAAAATAACATATTATTTACAGTAACGATTGAACAAATTTTTATGTGACCCCTAGTGATACACACATTTGGATACAGATCATGAGTTCGTCTTTGAATGTAAGACATAGATTTTTTTCGTCAGGACTTGGGTATATAAATAACACAATATCAAGTGAAAAGTGTATAACTTCAAACCAAATTTCATAGTCGTCAGTCGATTGCGTCTTCGCAAAAACGGTCATTAAGGTATATGATGGCGATGGGATTAAGTGGTAAGACTCACCTTTTACTTTCTAAGCAGTAAATTTCCTGGAAAACTACCAGGTGAAATTGAAGTCTAACGTACCTATTTCGTTCGTATTTGGTCGTAATGAATAAAAYAATCAAATTCAATGAAATTTTTCCCAATTTATCGAACTATAATAGTAAGAAAATAGGTTCTTTAACTAGCTAGTAAGTAGAATTTTTAATTTATAAAAATAATAATCGTTTTTTTACCTTTTATAATATTAGGTGTATTACTATAGTCTATAATGTATTTCTAAACTTCGTCTATGCCTTATATCGTAGTTAGACAGTAAGTACTAAGTTTACGACGATGTTATTGTTGTTATTGTTCACAGGTACAGCTGTTAATACAATAATAATAATAATATTATTGTTATTATGTATTCACCAATCACTATGATTGAATGATTCACAAACGTTTCTTCATTCTCATTATCGAGTTATCTTAAATYATGGTTGATACCAGAAGATGGATTATTTACCAACGGCACATGTTTTCCGGACAGTGTTGCCAGTCGTAGTTTTATATCTAACACATTTGAACGCCATAATTGAGGCGACAGTTGTACCTGTTGGACACATTGTTTTTGTTAAAATCACAAATTAAGAGGACGTGATACCCGCATGTGTTGTCTCTGTCTTACAAGTGCATTATATGGTAAATTTTACGTTCAGTAGAACACGTGTAGCTCCGTTTGCTTAAAAATTAGAGCGAATTGACCTCTTATAAAATTTAAAGGTATGATTGTTATCTAGTCAACCTCATATGCTTTTTAATATATTTAAATTTTAAAGGAAGTTATGAGTATTTTAAGATGCACAAAAAATTCACAATTTTAAAATACTTATTTTAAAATAACTCGCTTTAAATTTGATACAAAATAAAAAGCATATGAGGTTGTCTAGATAATAATCTTACCTTTAAATTTTATACGAGGTCAGTTCACTCTAATTTTTAAGTTAACAGAGCTACACGTGTTCTGCTGAGCGARAAATGTACCATGTTACGCATTTGTAAGACGGAGACAACACATGCGGGTATCACGTCCTCTTAAGATATAATCCTATTATATTAAGAAATCTTAATTATCCGTGGTTAAAGTATTATTATTATTTGTTTTGATTTAAAAATTTAAAGGACTCGTATTTAAAATATTATAGTTTATAAATATTAATTGTTTTTATTTCAACTTCTAGTAAAAACTACCATAGTTCGACAATATTAAAACATTAAAATTACATAGTGTCATAGTTCAATAATTAATGTATATAATAGTATTTAAACATACAACAAAATAGGTAAGAATAATAATCGACATTTGTATAGTCATACTAGTCATAGGAACCTAAAGCCTAAAGAAACCGATTAAGACAAAAACAGAAAATTAAATTGATATATTATTTGATACAATAACCTAAATGGAGATATTAATTATTAATTAAGTTATGCGATTAACAAAAATAGATGGTTGAACTATGGAGTGAAACAATTTTGCAATACATCAGTGAGAAGGAATATTAGTGGCCCAGTTACGGAATTTAATTTGGTGATAAAATGAGATAACACATAACACTGTTGTGACGATATCTAAATATCTAATGTAGGATTATTATTAACGGCCGCTTCAGCATACGATCTTGCTTGGGGCTCGGGTTGAGCGTCCGGGATCACGGTTGGAGGCGCCTTTGGAGAAGTATTGAGTTTATTTTTATTTATCTTATTATAAGATGGGCAACCTTTATGATCTGCGTTGTGCTCACCTGAACATGAAGCACATCTAGCTGAAGAGTCCTTTGATTTATTGCATGATACCGAGAGATGTTCATCCTCACATTTTACATAACATGGCGAGTAGTAGCAATAACTCCGGATAGATTTGGATGCATGTTTTCGAAAATCAAGTTTTAGAATGACAAGATTTAGAAAATCTATATTTTAGAATATGAAACTTTTAGAAAATCTGTGTTTTAGAAAATAAAATAAAACAAATAAAATATACAGTTTTTAAATAAAATGCTCTCTTATTTTTTGATAGAATTTACGATACAGAATGTAGAAATTATGATACTTTTCCAAATTTGTAATTATATAGTTTATGTTTGATCGAGAAGATTGGTAATATCGAAATGCAAAATATTTATAAACATAATGCTTTGTTTTCAAGAGAAAAAAATACGATGAAACACGGAACAAAACTTATTGCAAATAATATGTAAACGAATAATTAATTATTCTAATTCTAATTTAGATAAATTTATGAGAGCTATTGCTAATAAGTATTAACAATTATTATATTTATTTTTATTATGAAAGAATTATTATAAAGCATTTTATATACGAGTAAACAGTAAAAAAAAATTTTCTAAAAATTGAAATTCTATAAGTTTTATTTTCTAAAACATAGTGTATCTAAAACTWAGGTTATGTTAGGTTAGGTTACCTAACCTAACCTTATATTCTAAAACTCAGTATTCTAAAATATGACTTTCTAAAACCTGCCTCAATACCCTCCGGATATGCCAAATATGACAATATTAATAATTGTTATATTAATTAACATTCTATAAGTATTATGTACTTATTATTTAGTGTTTAATATACTGTGTACTACAAAACATTTTTTGAATAGGTTTTAACTTATTACCTACAATTTAAATATTTAATTCCTTTTGATTTTTTTATTGTTGTTGTTGTTGTTTTATTGTTGTTGTTGTTGTTTTTTTAGCCAGTTGGAGTAGACTAACCTATGCCATGTGCAATGTGAGTGTCTAATATCTATATTGTGTTTGTGACATGTATTGAAACTTTCTATATAGATGATAAGATCACCGACAGCTGAATGCATTACGCATAAATTATAAATATTATACCTACACAATTCCATACTCATTATAGCCATATTACTTATATAATATATTACAGGCTACTGTCATAGGTATATAATTTTTTGACTTTTTAGTTGTTTTACCTTTGTTGTGTCTCTTTGCTTCTCGCCGTTTAAAATTCAAGGTACGAACATACAAGCGCTGAAGTACGAATTTGGAATAATTCTGAAATGTAGTGGTGGGGGGAGGGGCAGTACTTGAATTGAGATAGAAGCGGTAGGGACAAAGTCCCTTTTATTTAAAAAAAAATATTTATGCGTGTAACCCTTTTAATCATACCCTATTCAAAAACTCATTTATTTGTTTATTAATTTATATTCATGACTCGGGTATACTATTCTTTACACTTTTGCACCTCCCATCTAATCTTTCCCAATACAAGCACTGGTCAGAGAGAGCGGGAGGGGTGATCTGCATTTTTTACAGAAAAAATATTAATACTCAATTTTTTAGTAGATATAATTTTTATATGTCATAAATACATAATATTATAAATATTTATAATATGTTCAAATAGTGGGGCCCTTTAAATTCCCTTAAGCCCCCTGAATCCACCCATCTAAACATATAATAATATGACCTATAGAATAAACTAATACAAATTATAAATGCGTATTTCAGTACACCGTTAACGAGCATCTATAATCCTATACGGCTATATATACATAAGTTTCAATAATTTCATCTAGGTATATTGTACATATTTATATATACATTTGTGTGTAATGTTAATGTATAATAACAAGTAACAACTGTACTCTGTAGTGCAGCTGGCGACCGGCTAAAATATAAGAAATGTTTTTTGCTTACAACCTGCAGCCTTCGTATTGCCGGAACAAAAGAATATTGAAGAATATAATATGATAAACGACAGTAGGACTTGACTACATGTCGTCCGTTAACGTACAATTGCACGACGACAATTCGCTTTCATTGTGCCTAAACATTGAATACTCTGCACAGAATCTGTGTATAAACCTATACTTTGTGGCCTTGTCTTGTGTCTCCAAAAAAATATTGTTTGAAAACKTTTCAATGGTGAAGGCGGGAAAGGGGGGAATTGAACCCTCCAAAATTACTATTATTTACATTCCTACGCTATACGCAGTATATTATGATTTATGTTATAAAAACTAATAACATACTCAACAAAATAAATTCTAGTCCTAACCTATCTTTGATGAGTCACCTATATGTTACTATACCATGKGTAGATCAAATTTTAATTACCTTCATAATAATCAAGACCGGATCAACAAAATATAGAGGTTAAAGAGACTAGCCCAGGGCCCTGATGGTTTTCATGAACGTGAAATGAGGACATTAGTTTTTTCAGTTATAATTCAGGGATGGGCAACTCACAGTTACTATAGGGCCAATTTTTAGAAATTTAAAATATAGCGGGCCAGAGTATAGAAAGCAAAAAAAAAAAAGGTTTCAAAATATACATTTTAAATAGCATTTATTTTGTTTAGAGAAAGTTGTATTTTGTTTTGTATTTTGTGTTTTGGAAGTATTTTGTTTAAGAAACTGATATAATTAAATAGATCGGTCGGTACAAACAGCTATGGTTAAAATCTATAATATGTATCCATACGTGTGTATATACCTACTATAACTATATTGTGACATTTATACATTTAATAATGTTCAATACCAGATAACAATTATTATATCGATAAGATAGAGTATACACTGTACTAGACATTATAGATTATAGAGTATAGACGATAAAGTTTAAAATTGTATACCTATACCTAATGCAATTTGAAAATGTAGCGCGGGCCAGATAAAAAAAGGCTCGCGGGCCGCCAGTTGCCCACCCCTGAGTTATATTATACTTATTTAGGCACCTATGACTTATAGCAAAATAAATATTCAGGATATACCATCATAAAATAAATTACGGATTTGAAATAGTGCAAAAATATTAATTCTATTAATATTTTAATTGAAAATGTAACTATAATATACTTATAATATATGGTCAAAACCCTTAATCCAGCTCTGATAATATAATTACATTACCCATGTCATCTTGCCGTCTTGGAAATTATTACATATTWTATTAAGTGGCACGTACTGCAGTATACAAGAAGAACTGCATAATGCTTTGAACGAGTGTTTCATTTGTACCCAAAATTAAAAATAATGTTTTGATTAAAATTCCTGAAATTATACGACTATACGAGTCGCAATTTATTATTGTTACAACCATATAGACTTGCTTATACTTATAAGAATAAGGTCTATGGTTACAACCCACTAATTACACTATCACGTTGATAAAATTTGATATAATACCCAATAGTTTATTTTTAGAAACATTTTAGTTTTTAGTTACTGAATATCTCTGAGATATAACTAAATTTCAATACAAAATACATAATTGATGCAATTACATGCTGAACACAATACATTGAAAAAACATAATACAGTCGTCACGATAATTCAAAGTCAAAGGGGGATAAAAATTCGATTCGTGATACCTAACTAAT